AGTCAGATTTCACTGTAAGTTTAAGAATAGTATTTTATTAACACAACATGCAGATGAAATTCAGCTCCATGCAGAGTCCTTGTACATAGCATTTTGTAGCTATTAAACCCATCTCAGAGGTCCTAATTTGCAGACAGGTAAATTATACAGTCCACTCTGCAGTGGCACAGATTTCTCTGAAGAAGAAAACTAAGGTTAGTGAAACGCACTTTATTTCCCAACTTATGTTCAAGAGGATAACAGATAACTTTGAACTTTATGATTTGAATAATTCCCTATGCCAGCAAAGATCTGAATCCAAGCATAGGTAGTGACAGCAGTTCAGATGATGAGAGGAAATCTTGTAATAAAGTATGCCAGCCTCAGGAAAAGCAGGATCCTGCAGCTAACTCTTTAATAGCAAGGGATGATAGCTTCTTCCTGTAAGTAGAGATTCTAGCCTTCTAAAATACCAGTCTGAAACAGAGTCTTCAGCAAATCTCTCATTGCATGATACCACCCCTCTGTATCAAGGCACCCCATGCTTTCTCTTCTTTCCATCATGGGCAGTGACACAATATTCCTTAGTCTAGGAAGGCACCAACACTTCAAATGCACAGGGATGAGGCTGGGAAACAGTTGTGGGATTCTCATTCCAGTGTTTCACAAGCAGCCTGCTTTGGAGATGAAAGCTTAGCCTTACCTCCCTCCTGTTCTGGGCTACTGCAGGGCACAACGGAGGAAAAGATGGATATTTTGCTGCAACTTCTGTGACAAGATGCTTGGGATGTGGAGAGGACAGCAGAGTTTTCAAAAGCCCAAGCTGAAGAGAATTATTAGGAAGCAGATCTGTGGCCTGTGGAATAGCTCTTTTTATACCATCTTTGTATCCAGTTCTCTAAATAAACAATCAGGTTTCCTTAGCTCTATCTAATTCCTTCTGGTATTACTTAGTGTAACCTGCACAAACCAATTAATTCAGCTTTGCAGATACACTTTCAACAAGAGTGTATACATTTTCAGCTCAAGACAATCTAGTACACATAAAAGGCTTCATAATTTCAGTATGTTTTACTAATAATAACCTCCTTGCTTGCTAACCTAGATTTACCAGCTTCCTAAAACCCAAGGAAAAACTATGTCACTGCCCTCAGCAG